AGCATCCTTGGTGGCTGTCTCGAAGGCCTAGTAGGAGGTTGTCAGAAGTAATTTGAAAGACCGGAAGTTATTTTAGTTTTACTCTATAGTTAATGGCGAAGTCTTTTTTCCTTTACATTTTGTGATAATATTTTTTTCTCTCAGTTTGAGACTGAAGAGGGAAACCTTTAATTGGCCTCCAGACTCCCAGTGACTGGTTTGGCCGAGGGTCAGCAGGATACTGAGTGTACTGACGAACTGTTACAAGCTTACTGAAAGTACAGTTGATCTTTGAAGTAAATGTGACGACCCGTAATTTAATGCTTGACTTATATAGGAATTTACCTAGATAATACGGCTCGTAATACCTTGCGTAAGTCATGGTTATCAAGAGAATTTATTGGTAAATAAAATCAAATGGAAATCCACCCATGAGACCAATCTCTACTGGCCCGATCTGTAAAGTAGGCGTGGCTTCGCGGAGATCCTGGCTCTCTGATTGGTCGAGCTGTGACGTGAAGCGAAGGTGTGTCTCGAAGGGTATAAAGCAGGTTGACGATCAAAATAATGTTGAGTTGTAGCTGGACAGGCTCGAGCGACTAGAAACGATTTGGACTGTAGGAAATCTTTCGTTACATTACCAACCATGTGTGGTAAGTATATGTATAATATATATCTATATATATATATATCTATATATATATATATCTATATATATATATATATCTATATATATATATATAGATATATATATATATATCTATATATATATATATAATATATATATATATATCTATATATATATATATATCTATATATATATATATATATCTATATATATATATATCTATATATATATATATCTATATATATATATATAGATATATATATATATAGATATATATATATATATCTATATATATATATATAGATATATATATATATATATCTATATATATATATATATCTATATATATATATATATAGATATATATATATATATATATAGATATATATATATATATAGATATATATATATATAGATATATATATATATAGATATATATATATATAGATATATATATATATATATAGATATATATATATATAGATATATATATATATAGATATATATATATATATATAGATATATATATATATAGATATATATATATATATCTATATATATATATATATATCTATATATATATATATATCTATATATATATATATCTATATATATATATATATATAGATATATATATATATAGATATATATATATATATAATATATATATATATATCTATATATATATATATCTATATATATATATATATCTATATATATATATATCTATATATATATATATATCTATATATATATATATCTATATATATATATATAGATATATATATATATAGATATATATATATATATAGATATATATATATATAATATATATATATATAGATATATATATATATAGATATATATATATATAGATATATATATATATAGATATATATATATATATCTATATATATATATATATAGATATATATATATATATCTATATATATATATATCTATATATATATATATATATCTATATATATATATATCTATATATATATATATCTATATATATATATATAGATATATATATATATAGATATATATATATATAGATATATATATATATAGATATATATATATATATAGATATATATATATATAGATATATATATATATATCTATATATATATATATATATTATATATATATATATCTATATATATATATATCTATATATATATATATATCTATATATATATATATCTATATATATATATATTATATATATATATATATAGATATATATATATATATCTATATATATATATATAGATATATATATATATATCTATATATATATATATAGATATATATATATATATAGATATATATATATATAGATATATATATATATATAGATATATATATATATATCTATATATATATATATTATATATATATATATATATCTATATATATATATATATAGATATATATATATATATCTATATATATATATATCTATATATATATATATCTATATATATATATATATCTATATATATATATATATCTATATATATATATATACTTTATGATTGAATCTTAACGCCGTATATCTAATTTTGTTGCGAGATAACTTCACCTGTAATATGCGATATACTTTAGTGGACTTTGGTTTAAGAAAGTGAATATGTAGGCCGCAAAGAGTTTCGAAACTATCGCTACGCAGCAAAGGAGCGTCTATCGATCGTCTTTTGTTGCTTGGCGCTCTCACCGCGTAGCGGGGTCTGCCGTCTATACAAATTTCGTCTGCTGTCGCGCCGAAGTCAGTTTGTTGTTGTTGTTTGGGGGAACTAGACACTCGAACTTTCTTCATCTGTTCGTGTGAGAAACCTTTCTTTTATAGCCCGTGGTGACGCTCCTATATTTTGATAATGTGTGGTGAGTAAAGATATAAGATAGTAAGCAATATTTTACCTTGTGAATGGTTATTTAACGGTCTTATTTCATAAATTTAACCAGAACCTGTGTGATATCTCCGAGACTTCTGTTAACATTGCCAAGTTATCATATCATTTCTGGCTTTCTATATCATCAGCCGTCCGTTTCAGACAGCCATAACAAAGATACATTATAATTCAAAGCATAAAAACGATATAAAGACCAAGTAAACTCATTCATCCTCCGGTGCCAAACGCACGAACATGTGTGACGTGGCGCCACTACTTCCCGGCACCACGAACCAGTGCCACTTCCACGTATATGTTTGTACAGTGTCAGCGGTGCCACCTCTTTGATGCGGTTTAGGTGTAGTCGGCTTAGTGGAGACTGCAGCCTTTCGCAACAGCTGAACTACATCCTTATCAGGGGTTTTTAAAACCTGAGATAAGACATGTATGTATATATAATATATATATATATATATATATATATATATATATATATATATATATATATATATATATATATATATACTTATATACATACATACATATATATACATATATAGATAGATATACGTACATATATATATATATATATATATATATATATATATATATATATATATATATATATATATATATATATATATATGGATAGTTATACTTAGATATATATACATATATAGATAGATATACGTACATATATCTCTCTCTATATATATGTATACATGTAGATATACATAGATAGATAGACATAGATAAAAATACATATACATATAGATAGACAGATAGTTATACATATACATAAATAGGTATATAGATAGATAGATAGATAGATATACATTTTCATATACATATACACACATATAATAGAGATAGATATATAGATAAATATACATACATACATATTTAAAGTGATATATGTATGTGTTCATGTATATATATACACACATACATACATACATACATATATATAATATATATATATATTATATATATATATATCTATATATATATATATATATATAATATATTATATATATATATATATTATATATATATATACATATATAGATAGATATACGTACATATAGATATATATACATATATAGATAGATATACGTACATATATCTCTCTCTCTATATATATGTATACATGTAGATATACATAGATAGATAGACATAGATAAAAATACATATACATATAGATAGACAGATAGTTATACATATACATAAATAGGTATATAGATAGATAGATAGGTAGATATACATTTTCATATACATATACACACATATAATAGAGATAGATATATAGATAAATATATATACATACATATTTAAAGTGATATATGTATGTGTTCATGTATATATATACACACATACATACATACATATATATAAATATATATATATATATATATATATATATATATATATATATATATATATATATATATATATATATATATATATATTGCATGTACACGTATGTATGTATGTATGTTTATATATATATATATATATATATATATATATATATATATATATATATATATATATATGTGTGTGTGTGTGTGTATGTATATATAAGTATCTTATATATTTATTTATATATGTACATTTATCTCTATCTCTATATATATGTATATCTATCTATCTGTCTATCTATATATGTATGTGTATATGTGTGTGTGTATGTTTATATATATATATATATATATATATATATATATATATATATATATATATATACATACATACATATATACACACACACCTATATACACATAGATATGTTTGTATATGTAAACACACACATACACACACGTATATATATATATATATATATATATATATATATATATATATATATATATATATATATATATATATACCATATATATGTATATGTATATGTATGGATAGGTGCATATGTATATAAATGTGTATATATATACATATACACACACCATACATATGTATATAAATGTATATCTATATATTGTACATATGTATGTGTGTATCCATTCATCCATCTATACATTTATATGAATATTTATACATATACACGTGCACACACATGTACACATTGCACAGCCGCACACTCGTACACCTGGGTCAACGTACAGTACATGTTGAGCTCCGCCGTGCTCCTTGCCCCCTTTCTCCTCTTCCTCCTCTTCGCGGATATAATCCTTCACCATTTTCTCTCTCCTTCTCGCTTCGCTCTTTCACTCGTAACGAGAAGAGCCCCGCAACAGCGTTCTCTTTCTTTGCCTGTATCTCTCTTCGTCCTCGTGTCCGTTGTATCGAAGTTGAGGGGTTGGTGTCCCGAGGTTCTCTGCACCCCCGGCATCCGCGGCTGGACAATACTCTGTTTTCACTTGAGGATTTTTCTGCCGGGCGTTCCTTTGTTTATCCGGTGGTTCTATTGCTGTGTCGCTCGTTTTCGTCATTATTATTTTATCTTCTCGTTCATTTTTCTTCCTGATATCCTC